TTAAATGCTTGGCGCTCAGCTAGAATGCCACTTGCCACTTGGCTTTTCATTATTTTTTAGCAAGTGTTTGGCGTTTGGCTCGTGGTGCCAGTTACCACTTACTTTGCTTAAGTGCCTGGCGCTCGGCTAGAATGTCACTTGCCACTTGGCTTTTTCATTATTTTTTAGCAAGTGTTTGGCGTTCAACTCGTGGTGCCAGTTTCCACTTACTTTGCTTAAGTGCCTGGCGCTCGGCTAGAATGCCACTTACTACTTGGCTTTTTCATTATTTTTTAGCAAGTGTTTGGCGTTCGGCTCGTGGTGCCAGTTGCCACTTACTTTGCTTAAGTGCCTAGCGCTCGGCTAGAATGCCACTTGCCACTTGGCTTTTTCATTATTTTTTAGCAAGTGTTTGGCATTCGGCTCGTGGTGCTAGTTGCCACTTACTTTGCCTAAATGCCTGGCGCTCGGCTAGAATGCCACTTGCCACTTAACTTTTTCATTATTTTTTAGCAAGTGTTTGGCGTTCGGCTCGTGGTGCCAGTTGCCACTTACTTTGCTTAAGTGCCTGGCGCTCGGCTAGAATGCCACTTGCCACTTGGCTTTGCTCATACTCAGTCACCTTGTTTAGAAGAAAACAATACTTTTTTTTTTATTTATAAATCTTTCAAAGTTTTTGCTCTCTTGCAAGTATACAATTGAAGGTTGACATTGGTTAAATTGAAACTCAATTTTCATTGATAATACCTTTTTAAAGAAGTGGCATTCCAAGGCTTGTTCACCAGCCTTCCAGCCATGGTCTCTAAGACATATGCCCCCTTTCCGATAACCTCTGCAACTCTATACGGATCTTCCCATGGTGACACCATTTTCTTAATAATACCAATTTTTCTTTTCAGAACCAAATCACCAGGTGCAAAACCCCTATGCCTCACCTTTCTGTTGTGACTGTTCATGAGCGTTTGTTGATATAATGCGAGCCTTACTGCTGCAGCATTCCTCTTCTCTTCAAACAAGTTGAAGTTGAATTTCAGCATACGATCATTCTGCTCCTGATTCCACGCTAAACTCCGAATGGTAGGAACTTGGTGTTCTACTGGTATTCCTGCCTCAGTACCATACGCCATAGCGAATGGGCTTTCTCTGGTCAGTTGTTTTAGAGTCGTTTTATACGCCCACATGACGTTCGGGAGTTCATCCAACCACTTCCCTTTCTCTTCTTCAAGGTTCTTCTTTATACAAGCAAAAATCGTTCTGTTTGTGATTTCAGCCTGACTATTCTTCTGTGGGTGGCTGACCGCTGCTAACTTTTGATTAATTCCATATTCGTTCAGCAACTCCCTCACCTGCTTGCTATCAAGGTTAGTCCCATTATCCGTGACGATCGCCCTCGGCACACCAAATCGACAAATGATATTATTCCAAATAAAGCGTCTCACATGGGTCTGAGTCACACTGGGGAACGGTTCTGCCTCCACCCATTTGGTAAAGTAGTCTATTGCAAGCATAACGTACTTGTTTTGCGATCTGGCGGTTGGTAATGGGCCAACCATATCTATCCCCCATTGCGCGAAAGGCCATGGTTTGGCCATTACGTGCAAATCTTCTGGTGGTTAGTGGATCAGTGGTCCGAACCTTTGACACTTATCGCACCTTCGCGAAAATTCTTCTGCATCTCGCGCCATATTTGGCCAAAAATAACCCTGTGTCATCGCCTTGTGTGCTAGAGACCTTCCTCTTGAATGATTGCCACAAACCCCTTCATGGATAGTCCGCAGTATCTGCTGAGCTTCTGCAGGGGTTACACATTTTAAGTATAGTCCTAAATAAGACCTCCTGTAAAGTTGGTTGTGCACTATGGCATACTTTGCGGCATTCGATCTGATCCTTCTTGCTTCATCCCTTTGTTCGGGCAAAACACCATCCCGTATATACGTAATAATTGGATCTATCTAGCTCGGTTCATATGGTATAACGTTCACCTGCCAGGGATCCGAACTGGATGGTTCCTTAAGGATAGATGGCTGGCGTAGTACCCCAATTGGAATTACCCTTGCTAGTGTTTCACCTGAACTTGACGCACTACAGGCCAACCGATCAGCATCTTCATTATGCTCCCTCGGCAACTTAATAAACCTGATCTGATTGAAACTTCTAATTTCTTGCGTAACGGCAGAACGATATGCCTCTATTGCCTCATCCTTTGTTCCATACTCTCCAGTCACTTGCCGAATTATTAACTGCGAATCACTGAAGGCAACTAAACTTTTGACCTTTAGCTCTTTAGCTAACCTTAAGCCAGCCAGCAGTGCTTCATATTCTACTTCATTGTTGGTTGCTTTAAACTCAAGCCTGATCGTTTGGCTCAACGTAGTGCCTTCTGGTGTTTGTAACTTAATCCCGATTCCTCCCCCCATCTGATTTGAAGAGCCATCAACGAAGAGCTTCCATAAAGATTCTTTAAGGCATTCATTTAGCTCATCGACATCACATTCTAGTAAGAAATCAGCCACAGCTTGCCCTTTAGTGGCCGTTCGGGGCTCATAAGCTATGTTGAAAGAACTAAGCTCTATTGCCCACTTCGTCATTCATCCAGACAAATCGGGCTTATGCAGGATCATCCTTATAAGAAATGTGGTCAGGACAACTATAGGATGAGACTCAAAGTAATGCCTGAGCTTCCTTTTTGCATTTACCAAAGATAGGATTACGCGTTCTGCCTTCAAATACCTTCTCTCTGGCTCAGTCAACGTTTTGCTGACATAGAAAACCGAGAATTACTTTCCCTCAGCACATCGTATCAGTACACTGCTAGTCGCAATGTTAGAAACTCCAAGGTACAGGAAAAGCTTTTCACCTGGCATTGGGGCGTTCAGGACTGGTGGGTTCTGCATATATTCTTTCAGCTTGATCAGCGCTTGCCTTTGCTCATCCCCCAAGACTGTTTTCTATGCCCTGATTGTATCGAAGAATGGTTTGCATCAGTCGGATAACTTAGAAATGAATCGACTCAGTGCCGCTATGCATCTGGTGAGAGCTTGGATCTCTTTGATAGTATTTGGTTCAGCATTTTTTAGCAAAGCTTCCACTTAGGCTGGACTAACCTTAATCCCTCTTTTGTTGACCACATGGCCAAGGAATTGCCCGGATCCCACGTCGAACGAGTATTTAGTTGGATTCAGCCTCATTCCACACTTTTTTAGCACGCCGAATACCTCCTGTAAATGTTTTAAGTGATAGTCCTTTTATTTGCTTTTGACCACCATGTTGTCGATGTAAGCCTCTACTGTCCTGCCCATTTGATCCTTAAAAATCTTGCTAACCAACCTCTGATATGTGGCTCCAGCATTCTTCAGTTCGAACAGCATTACCTTGTAAAAATAGATCCCTCGTTCAGTGACAAAAGAGGTCTTTTCCTCATCATCTGGGTCCATTGGGATCTGATTATAGCCCGAATATACATCCAGAAAGGTCAGTCGCTTAGACCCGGTTGTTGCATCCACCATTTGATCAATCTTTTGAAGTAGAAAACTATCCTTCAGGCAGGCTTTGTTCAGATTAGTGAAATCAATGCAAACTCTCCATTTTTCATTCTTCTTTTGCACTACAACCACATTCGACAACCAGTCGAGTACTGTACCTCTCTAATGAACCCACCCTCCAGCAATCGATTAACTTCCTCTGCAATGATCTGGTTACGCTCCGGGGCGAACCTTTTCTACTTCTGCCTCACTGGCTTGACGTTCGGATCTATACTAAGAGAATGGCAAGAGAGTGATGGGTCGATCCCTGGCATGTCGAGATGGCTCCAAGCGAATACATCGGCGTTCTGGGAGAGGAAATCAACCAATTGACGTTTTTCTTCCTCGGCAAGCCCGGAACCTACCTTCGTGGTCCGATCTGGGCTTAAACGATCAATTTAAACTTCAACCAGTGGTTCCTCGGTCAGCATCGGAAGATCCTCCTCTCAGTTCACGCTGAGGAGAGGCTTCTGTAATTGTTATTGCTCATCAACAGATCGGGCAGGAGCTTTTCCCTTCCCTGCAGCTTTCATAGTCACCAAGTAACACTCCTTTGCTGCGACCTGATCTCCATGGATATCTATCACCTTGTTCCCGTCTGGACTTATGCATCTCATCACCTGATGTAGGGTCGATGGGAATCCTTAAACCCTATGGATCCATCCCCTCCCCATCAGCAGATTGTAGGAAGGATGGATCTCCACCACCACGAAACTTTCGACAAGGTTTCTTTTAGCTGCGTGGACCATCAACTCCACTGTGCGGATCGGTTCTACCCGTTTGCCATCAAACCCCAACAGTGGGTTTCCAGTAGACTTCAACTCCTTTGGATTGATTTTTAGGCGATCAAAAGTGACCCTTGGCATGATATTTGCACTACTCCCCGGATCAATTAGCACTCTCCGTACTAAACACTTAGCCACTATTAAACTAACAACCAAAGGGTCCTCATGAGGAATCTGAACTCGCATCAGGTCTGTCTTATCAAACTTTATCGACGTTGTTGAGCTTTGTTGATGCAGAGTATTGACACTGCCTATTTCGTCTCTTCATTTGTGCTTGTCGAAGACGCGTTCAGGTCAATTCTTCGGACTCTTCGGCTCGTTCAGGTTGACCATGAATAGCATTTATAATCCGAACGGGTTGAGTGTTATGGTGATTCAGCTTTTGATTTCTTTTGACTTGCTCAATTGGTCGATTCTGTTCTTTGGCTAGTCCTTAAACATACCCTGTAAACTCTCCCCTAGCGATCAGCATCTCCACTTATCTCCTTAAGTTCCTGCATTCATTAGTCTGATGACCAAAATCACTATGAAAAGCACAATGCTTAGACTGATCCCTCTGCTCAAGAGGTTGTCTAATTGGCAAGGGAGGGCAAAACTTATCTTTGTTCTCTTGGTATAGCCTTGCCAGTGTAACTTTGAGTAGAGTAATAAAGTCATCCTCCCTAGGTCTCTTCTCTGCCTTCCAGGAGGTCTGACGCAGCGTAGGAACTTACTTCTACCGTATCTTCACTTTAGACTTCTTTTCCGTGGAGATGATAGATGTTTTCCTAGCATTAGCTGCTTCTTCCTCTTCCAAGTGTACGAAACCATCTGCTCTCTCATTCAGCTCGTCCATTATCTTCGGCGTGTTCACCACCAGACTGGTATGGAACGGTGTCCCTCGGGTCATAGCTAACTTGAATGCCTGAACTGCTGTGGAAGGATAGCACTCTATCACCATGCTCTTGGTTAGGTTAAACCTGGTAAGAAAAGCTTGGAGACGCTCATCGTCATGCTGCTTTATGGTGAACAAGCTAGAAATATCTTTTGCCGAGCACTTATTCCCATAGTATTGGCCTATGAACCGATCACACAAACTACGGAAGCTGTCCACTGAGCCCCTCGGCAGGTTCTTAAACCATTTGAACGCCGGTCTAGCTAGGCTTATAGGAAAACATTTGCACATCAAAGGATCATTCTCTGTGTTCAGGGCCATCTTCAACTGAATGTGATATACATGATCAATAGGATCGGTTGTTCTGTCGAACAAAATGAAAACAATCATGGAAAACTTCCTCGGGCTTAGAGCATTCAGGATCTTGTCAGTAAACGGCGAATTAACCGTCCGTGCTGCCGAACGGAAGGCCTCATTCTCTTTGATCTGTAAATCTTCTTTCCGAACTCTTATAATCATATGTGGCCATTGAAGGCCGATAAGATGGATCAAACGACCTTTCCTCAGTGACCTCTTTCTTCCACGGCGAGTTAATCTTGTGATAATCAAACTCCATATCCTGTTCGCGGTTGTGCCTTTTCTGATGCGGATTAAAAGCTGTATTTTCGTCCCGTCTGATATGCTCACGATGAGGATCGAGATGTACAGATCCTTCTCAATCCTCAGCTCAATGATCATTTGGCGGTAAATTCTCCATCCTAACCTCATCGCGGTGGAAATTAACGTAGTTATCTCCTTCTTGTTCACCTTGATGTGCGTCATCAGGTCGCACGCCTCTTTCACCCACCGGAGGCAGTCGCGGCACAACCGGAACCTCTCGGTGTTCCATTCCAGCTCTCAACTCCGCATTTTCTTTTCTCAGTGCCTCGATCATGTTCATCAGTTCATCAAGCTTCATCTGCTGGTTATTCTCTACTGGATTCGAACTCTCTTCTCTGATCATCATTCCGGATCGTAACAAAGTCATCAACCGCAAATTTCTAATCAGATCTGAGTTTTGCCAATGCTGATGCTCTAGATCTGGAGTCTAAAGCAGCTAAATTCTGATCGTGATTAACCAGATCTGAATTGTTCCGGCGTCGAACTTGCTAAATTCAGCAATTTCAGCGATTTTCGACTGCACAGCTCTCCAGAACAAGCACAAATTAGAACTGCGTAAATCGAACGCCAATTTCTCCGGTCATAATTTCACCGATCTTAATTTCGCCTTCAACGATCAGGCTTCATCTCCAAGCGCTATACTACTAGATCAAATCAATCTGAGTGAATCATCAATGAATTCTTATCGATTCCCACGGACGGCGCCATTGAAGATACAAAAATTTTTCTCTCTCTAAATTGACAGAGTTTTATTACACTTCAAAATTTTCGATCCCCTTTTTTCTTTCATTTTCCTCTATTTATAAATTGTTTACAATGTTCTAGAAGATCCCTAACTAACTTCCTCCATTAGACCCATCATCGTGGCCTTTGTATTCATTGATCCATTCGTCTTTCAGGCCTTCAGCTTCACTCTTCGGCATTGGGCTTGTCTCATGACAGCTTGATTTGGGCCCAGGCGATTTGCCTGGCCCATTCTTCATCATATGGGTTAGATCCGGCCCATGCCGTCTTTGGTATTCTCAGTGCTACTAATTGTCAATCCTTAGTGTAGAGAATAACAGCCAGAAATGGTATGTGGATCGACTTCAAGGTTCTATCATATGCAGGCAGAGTTTTGTTGATAAGATCAATCTTGTACATAATCCAAGCATACTGGACTCAAGCTTTTGTACTTCCATTGAAAGTTATTGGCCAAATCAGTCAAATTTTGAGAAATTTTTTACTCATCTAGGGTAGATTTGAAGATGGGTTGTGCTAAGGTTGCATGGTCTGCTAGATGCAGACCAAAATTTTATGGTGGTTTAGGATTTCCTTGTCTTGAACTAACAAATAGAGTTTCAAGCTTCAAACATATTTGGAAACTTTGTTCCATAAAAAATAGCCTATGGGTTGCTTGGACATTTAGGTATCTCATTAGCCAAAGAATATATGGACTGTTAAGGCATCTTCATTGAGTTCAGGATTTTGGAGAAGACTGCTCAAATTGAGAGGAATGGTAAGAGGGCTTATAAAGCACAAGGTAGGTTCTGGGACTGATACAATCACGTGGTTAGATTATTAGTTGCCAAATGGGCCTATCTCAAATCAACTAGAGCTCACTGATATGAAAATTCTTTAAAGTTGATAGCCAAATGGACCCATCTCAAATCAACTAGAGCTCAATGCCAAAGTTGATAGCCTAATTTCTAATAATCAGTAGGTAATCCCAGCTTCTTTATAGCAGGTCACTTTCTTCCAAACACAATCCTTCCAAACACAATCCTTCACTTCCCAGCTCCCAAGCATTCCATCACCATCAGCTGGACAAGATCAGATTGATTAGCTACCAAGTGCTTCAAAGGACTTCTCACACAGACTCAAAATGGAATATTTTACTCCCCTTTCCCTTCTTTTTGCTTGGAATACATCATTTGGTTCAAACACCACATTCCAAAGCACAACTACATTGTTTAGCTTGCACTTAAGGAAAGATTATCTACATTATATACCAAACCAATGTTGCATAAGCATTACATTAATGTTTGCTACCTCTGTCTCTCTACTTGGGAGTCATTTGATTGCATTTTCTTCAGATGCAAATTCAGTGTTGTGATATGGGAGTTTGTACAGCACTCTGCAGGTTTTTACATCATGCCAAACAATTGGAGGAACCTCATCAGTTGGTGTTCATCCATTTGGATTCATGGCCTCTTCATATCACACAAACTCCTTCTCTCAGCAGCTATTTACTTCATAATGCAGGAAAGGAATTCAAGGGCGTTTAGAAACAAATTCTCCACTGCTCATCACATTATTCACCTTATTAAGAACTGTATTACAACAAGTTTTGCTTCTTTCAAGCTAAGAGATAAGGATGTTAGGCTCATTGGAGGACATGCAGCAACTCTTCTTACAAGGTTGTTCAATTGCCAATGGACATTCATGGTTCTTACTTTGATTTTGATGAAAGCAAATCTCAATTTGATGCATTTTGGTTGAGTATGTATGGTTGTTATCCTCTTTTGGTTGAGAATGTATGGTTGGTATCCTCTGTTGGTGCCTCTAGAGAATGCTCCCTAGGTTGGTAATGCGCACCCATAGATGGACATGGTAGTTAATATTTGTTGTTCATTCTCCTGCTTCCTCTGGAGTATGTCCCTCAGGCTTGTTGTGTCCCTGTTGGGCTTTGTACATACTTTTTCTTTTTATATATAAGCTTACCCATTCAACAAAAAAATAAAAATAAATTGAATTAGATTTTGCTAGTATGATTCATTTGGAAAACCGTACCATTTCTATTAAATCTTCAAATAATTAAAACAAAAGTTAATATTTTTTATGATGAATGAGTGACCTCTTTGTCGTGAATACATAAATTACATAGTAATTCACTTAAACCTAACTTAAAACTTTTTATAATCGTATCTGATTTTGTATTTTCTTATTACTGTTAAATTTTAAAGAGATACTCAACAAAGATATAGAGAAGTTGAGAGGGTGCATGAGAGAAGATATAATATAAAAAAATTTAGTAGATTAAAACAAAATAGATAGAGAAACATAGTGTAATTGTTTGTTCTTACCTTTTACTTCAATTGCCAATTTGTTTAATTTGCTAGAATAAGAAACACAAATGCATACAAGAATAAAGTCTAATATGTATTAAAATAGAGGACATTAGATCACATCTCGAACTAAAATTCAAGATGTGTAGCACTCATTATTTTATTTTGATTTTTTCTTTTTATTTGTTACCTCATATAAAAATTATTTTTTCTATTTATTTTCTTACCTTATATAAAAAAATTTTATTCCCACATATTTTCCTGCTAGTTATACCATGGTGGACGGTGACTAGAGGCCAAAGCATTTCCTCCAAACTTAATTTTGTCTTGTTTTGAATCCAGTATTTTTTCTTTTTCTTTTTTGTAAAAGAGCTATATCTAATATTTTGACCCAAATAAGTTCAATTTTTTATGAGAGGAATGAATGATTAATCCAAGATTATAAAAAAACCATCAATAAACTCAAATTCTCAACCCAAATCCACAAATTTATTTACCTTCTTACACATATTATCTTCATTCAATTTAAATTTGTCCTTCCCAGAAGGTAATATATATATATATATATATATATATATATATTCCAAACTAACTGTATGCAATGCAAGCTAATTGAGAAATGAATGAGATGAATGGATAGTTGCTCTACTACACTTATCGAACATGGAGATCTAGAAGAAGTTGTTCTAGGATTTTTGAATTTTTTTATTTTTTGTTTTTCAATTACATATGGGATCTTTTAACTATGAAGTAGCCACATCACTGGTAATACACTTTCACATAAATTCAAGATACCGATGATGAATTGTGGTCGTTTTTTACGGGCAACAATAAAGCTCTAAAAAAATAAAATATTCCTTGCAAAAATGTATTACATGAAAGTTTAAAAAGAACAAAAGAAATAAAAAGTAGCAGCAAAAACAAATGAAATAAAATTACAGATCAAAAGGAAATTAAAAATAAAAAATAAAAATTGAATCGCATAGTTCAATCTTTAGACTTGGACGTATTGCAATTATTCGGAGGAATAAACAAATGGATCGACTCAAACACCACTCCCAGTATGTCCAGCTGGCACAATCATCACCGTCTATTGTCGCAAAAGAAATGATGCAACAATACCAACTCCTACAGTCGCCACTACTCCATGCGTGGTGAGGCTAACTGTACCAGAGATATCAACAGTACTGGAGGTTGGAGGACTTTTCGCGGCCGGTGGCGTCTTCTCGGCCGGCTTCAGCGGTGCCTGTGCCTGTGCCGGTGCCAATGCCAGTGCTTTTGCTTTTGCTTTTGCTTTTCGTTTTGCTTTTTCCGGTGCCGGTGCCGGTGCCGCTGTTGGTACAGGAGTACCGAAAATGCTCCAAGGAAGAAGCACATTGTCTACCTGATACACGGCAAGACGGTTGGCAGTATAGACTGAGCCAGATATTGTAGTGCTCATAACGCCGGTGGACATGTTCACAAGGTTGCCGTTGGTCGTCACGTTAAGCGGGAACTCACCTGGATCGCTGCCTCCAGCTTGTGTCCGCAATGGGTTGGTGGCAGTTTGAAACTGTGCTGGTGTGAGAAAGGTAGGCAATATGTGAAACTGCAATAGCTGGATCTGTTGTTGACCAGTGAGAGAGTTGAGAGTGCCCTGTTTAAGGTTCGAAAACGCGGCATCGGTTGGTGCAAATACAGTTAGGCCATTGTTTGAGTCTTTGAGCTGGGCATTGATCTGGGAACCCACACTGGTACTTTTCAGAAGCCGGAGAAACAGCGTAAAGCGGCCATCCTTTTCGAGGATTTTCATGATGTTGGGGTGACCGGCCGGTGCCGGGGGCCCTGGCGTGAGGGGACCAGTATGTGCCGGGGACGCTGCTACCACCGGGGATGCTGGACTAGGTACTGGGAGCACTGTCGGGGACGCTGCAGGGGACTGAGCTAGGGTTGTGCTGAAATGGAAGTGGAATAGTAGTGCAAGTGAGAGAGAGAAGAGAATTCGGTTCATCATTTTCTTGGTTTTTGGTGTGGCCTTCAAGGGTTGCTGTGAAATACTAGATATATAGAGATCAACTAAATGGAGGAGTAGGTGGACTTGAATGGTGTGTTGTGTTGGAGATGGGAAAGAGAAGGAGAGATTGAGAGGCTTTATAGAGAGAGTGGGAGGATAATATTAGGTGAAGTGCATCCATTTTAGCAGAAAACCAGTTAGCATCCAAATGTGGTACGGTGGATATCATACAAGGTTGCATGCTTTTTTCATTTGATATATTAAAGTATCAGTGCTAACAACTTCTTATTTTTAGGATGAAAAGTTTTGTGGCAATCAAAATCTACATCTATGCATAAGTCGAATAGCATGTTTGATCTATTCAACCAATTTTGAAATTTATATATGCCATTTATTTATTTATTTACCAGCAATCACGAGTGGTGGCAACTGGCAAGATGACAATTAAAAAAGAAAAACGAAATTTGTGGTTACGATTAATTTTTTTTTTTTTTTGGTGGTGATATGCATCGTTATGATATGTCACAGGTTAAATGTGACATTTAGCTAGTTCTATTAGGGCATGAATAGAAATACAGCAGGGGTAACAGGAAATCTAATTCACTGTTGTGTATCTCAAAATTATTTTTATTGTAATAAGGTTTTTATTATAGAGTTATATTGTATTAGGTAATTAACTCTTCCTTATATTGGATATAAATTCTTGTTCCAGTTAGGACAATAGATACTAAAGTCTTACAACACAGATCATTTCACGAGACTCCTCACACCATTAGTGTACTCTCTACCAAACTCATTAACTCCTACTTATCAATTTCCTCATGAGGCTATTGTTAGAGTGTTTCTCAGTTTCATCATGCTATTTTGTATGAGGTGGAGAAATCTTCAATTGAGGTAGAGTTATGAAAAGATCCTTGTTCGAAGTAAAGCTATGGAGGAGCACATAAAAATAGAATTTTGAGCCAAGGTGAGATTGTTAGAGTTATGCCTCAAATTCTGGTGGAGAATTGTATTATTTATAGACAAGCGAAATAGGTCGCGTTTTAGTGGAACAGGTTGTGCTTAGGAAAAATGGTTGGATCAATGGTTGAAGAAGCAGAACGGGTTGCGTTTGCCTAAATGCGAGAATAGATTCCTAATCAGTTTTGAAAGCCTGGGAAAAAAGCTAAAGATTTGAGGAAGAAGTTGTACCTGCTATTTTAGAGTTGAATAATAATATAATAATTCCTTGTAGCTAGGTAAGTTAGAAAATACTTGTCAAACAAGGAATTAGGTTTTAAAGATTCTATAAATAGAGATGGGTTTAGGTTTAGAGAGAAAAGATGTAAAAGGTTTAAGGGTACGTAAGTGTTGTGAGGAGAAATAAGAGTATATGTAATTTTCGAGTATATACATGTAGTCTCAAAAAAGATGATGAGTAAGTGAGTGGTGTTTTGACATCTAGTTGTATATTTTCTTTCTTGATTCATTATATTTTATTCTCTCTATGGATGTAACCCTAGAGTTGGGTGAATTATATAAAATATTGGAGGGAGTTAATTATTCCCCACAGTTATGTCTTTCTCAACTCATAAGTCTTAACTCTCAATCTAGATATCTATTTATAAAGCTCAAATGTACACACTATTATTTGTTGGACAAAAAATAAATTAAAATCTTCAGAGCCCGTAATATATCTAACAAGCAATTACCTAATAAAATATAACATCTAAAGAAACTTAATTACAATAGAAATTTGAGACACAATCTTAACAATATTCACATTGCCTCAAATTCTATGAAGCCAGTCATCGCTTCCCACGACATTAATCTGAACATTTCTCTGATCTCTACAACTTCAATCTTGTTGATCCCAGCTATATATGCGTTACTCTATCAGTTAAACCCTAAGGCTCTACCTTGATTACTTGAACTCCATTACATGTCACCCATCACGATTTTCTGGCCATCGTGATCAATTTAATAAGCTAATTGATTGAATCTGCCTACAACTGAAATTCGTTATGGCCTGTTGAGACTCTCATGTTTTCCGGATCTTCAAATAATTAAAGGCGATCTTCCCAATATGAACTTTGGCTCTGATATCACTTGTTGGGAAAAATGACACAACAAATAACTCGCAACAATAACCTATTTCCCATCCTTGTGTGATTAAAATAGGATGTGAGTTCTAATCAACTAAGCACAAGAATATATATAACAATAATATCATCCACAAGTGACTCCACGATGTATGTGGAAAAAACTCGCGAAGGGAAAAAAAAAAAAACCACGATAACCGGAGTCCAATTTCAGTTTTCACTATGTAACAATAATGGGTATACAAGTTTCTTCTCTAGACACCACTAGAGGTTTACAATCATGAATAATAAATTATCTTTAGGTCACCACAATAATTTACTCACCAAAGTAGATGGATTTCAATAATAAACGTAACAAGAAAGGTTTAGATCTCACCATGCGGGCAAAAGACAATTAAGAAAGTAGATGAACTTAGAAAGGCTAAATGAAATATCTGAACCAGCAAATGTGTAAAGATCGTCGCTAGGAATTATCATCTAAAATTTGAAGCCAAAATGGAGCAAGAATTGATGTCCGATCTTCGGGTCCAAAACCTAACAACTGGTATCAAAGCTTTTATTGTGCCCAATAAAATCTATTTTAATGGATTTGATTTTAGATTTTGAATTTGAATTATAAAATATGAAAATATGGATATATTCATTGAAAAAATCCACTGTAGGTTTAGGCTAGACTTGATATGAATGGGCATAAAATAATATTTGTGTTGATTATATAGGTCAAATTTGCCTCGATATATGTCATGGATTAGAGCGTGTCCAATGCTCTCTCAAATGTCCTTTCAAACTCAAAATATAGGATATTTTGTTTTCTGATACACTACAATGGTGTGCTATACAGTCTCTCAAAATATGAGATTGTCATAACTTTTCTCATATATACTGGGTTGCTATAAGTTGCGAACTTGATATGCTACGCCTTTTTTTGAATTTTTGTGCAGATATGGGCTGGAAAGTCACATGAAAAAGCAAGAATAATGCATTGATTAAAATAAGAAAAGTAGTGGTCAGAGTCTGCACAATTGGAACAAAATTGCTAAAATATAGCATTTTAGATGAAATGCACCATTGGAGGATAATTGTTAAAATATAACATTTTGACACTATAGTTCCTCTTAAAATATAACTTTACTATGGAGAAATAATAATTTACATTGGAAATGCTCTAGATCCACATCTGGATAGGAATCTTAGTTCTAAAATGTAGAGTTGGAATTGGCATTCAACCCCTTATGTGTTTTGAACAAGTTAACATAACACATATGTAAAACGTATGCAAAAATATACTTGGTCGATGGCATGCAACAAGTCCTATTTTCCTGTAACAACTCTTTTGATATTTTGTATATATTCTCTTAACCTACTGATATAAGTTATATAAGCATATCATTGATGCGCATTATATCCATATGTTACGTTAAATACACGAAAATGGAATAGAATGATTATTCTTATTATATAGTTTGGTTGCAAATATAAAATCATATAAGAATTGAATGATCATCCACATGCAAATTGAATTCTTCAAAATATCCCTCTCAATAACAAATAATTTAAACTAATAAAATAACATTCTTTTATAATATTTTAAAAATAAATGGTGGGGTGCATGGAAGGCGGCAGCGGTGGTGGCCGGTGGTGAAGGTAGTGGTAGTAGTTGAAGGCAAGAGTGGTGTCAGAAGGCAAGAGTGGTGGAAGGCAACAGTGGTCAAGGTGGAAGGTGACAGTGGTGGTGGTGGTGGTACTCACTACAAGGAAGAAACCTTTTTATAATGGGTCAAACACACTGTAAAAACTTATTCATGCCACATAACATGCCCTCGTCTATTAAGATCCCATAAAAGCTCTTCATATTTTTATGAGCAACAATAAAGCTCAAAAAATAATAAAATATTCTCTTTAAAAAATATTTGAGGAGTGCTAAGTGTTGTCGCACAAGCGACTGTCCATTCACAGTCGCAGTTAGGATTGGTTACTTTTAATGCAAACATTACTTTTTTAGATTAAAATTACCCTTTTAAATTATCTAACATTTTTTTCTTATCTCCTCTTTTAATCGATTCATCTGGGGATATGTGCGTATGTGTGTGTGTGTGTGTGTGTGTATAATAACTAATGTGATGTGAATGGATGCTGGAAAAAAAAAAAAAAACAAAAAAAAAAAAAAAAAAAAAAAGAAAAAAGAAAAAGAAGTTAGATAGGATAATTTATTCACAAGAGATGGATTCTGAGGAAAAAAAAAAAGAACAAGATAGATTCTGAGATTGAAAAAACATATATACAAAATTAGTTTTATATACGTATATATATTTCTTTTTTGGTAAATGAATTATTTCCTTTCCTTTTATTTTCGTTTTTTTTTTTAAATCCATTTAAATAAGGATAGTTGTAAAAATAAAAAATAAAAGCAAAAAGAAACATATATATATATATATATAGGAAAAAACAAAAAGGGAAAGAATTCATTCACTCAAATATAGGTGTAAGAAGAAATATATAAGAATCCATCTTGTACGTGTATAGATTCTTTTCTCGCTCTTTTTTTTTTTTTTTAAACCTTTCTTTTTATTCTTTTTTGGATTTTTTTTCTCGCTCTTTTTTTTCTTCTTCTTCTTCCTTTTATTTTTTTCCAAATCCATCCATCTCAGGTGAAAAAATTATCCTATCTATATATATTTTTTTCTTTTTAAGAAATTATCCAATCTATATATATATATATATATATATATATATATATATATATATTTTAGAATCCATTCACATAACACTAGTTACATATATACGCACACATCATCAATTAAAAGAGAAGAGAAGAAGAAAGATTAGATAATTTAAAAGGTTATTTTTGTCTAAAAAATTAATATTTGTGGAGTCTCATACAAATAGAAATTCAAGTAATTAATGCATTTAAAACAAACC